CTACCTTTAATTGCTAGGAGAAGAAAAAGGGTGTCTGAGAATAAAGGTGTGTAAGTCTTGGTCGCTGATGAAAGATAGCATGCAGAAATACATAGAATCATAAACTGTTCCTTTTGAATTCTGCCCCTTGACTAGATACTTGAAGTCCCAGTTGATGATACAAGTTACAGGCTTAGAGTCTACAAGCTTGGGACGAAAGTATAAAGCAGCACTACCAAAGGGGCATCCCCAAGAGGCCAGAGGGTGCAAGGCAGGTGGGATGCCCCTGCAGGGAGTGCAGGGCTATTTCCTGAGAATGGTGGCAGGAGTGCCCAGTGAGGAGGCATTGAGTGGGGGCTCTTAGCATTGAGACTTGATGCTTTAAGGACTGGCTTTGGCTCTTAAGGTAGACAGTAGGCTGTATGCACAGCCTACCTTTCATGGGCAGTATGGAGAGATTGAGCCCCACAAACCATCTCTTCTCTCTCTCTCTTTCCTCCCCCCACCCCTTTTTAAAACTGCATTGCAGCATATAGATTTAAACAAATTTTTTTAAAGATTTTATTTATTTGAGAGAGAGAAAGAGAGAGAGCATGAGAGGGGGAAGGGCAGAAGGAGAAGCAGACCCCCTGCTGAGCAGGGAGTCAGGGCTTGATCCCAGAACTCCAGGATCATGACATGAGCTGAAGGCAGTAGCTCAACCAACTGAGCCACCCAGGCGCCCCTAAAAAAATAATTTTTAGACAGTTTGGAATAGGCCAAATTTACATGCAAGTTGGAATTAATAGAACAGAGAATTTTTTGTGGACCAATTTGAGAGCTAATGTTAACTTAATGTCCCATCACCCTGAATACTTTGAGTGTATTTCTTACATGCAATGACATTTTCTTACCTAACCATTGTACAGCCAGCAAAACCAGGAAATTAATATTGCTACCTTACCTCCTTCTAGTTCTGAAATTCCATTCAAGTTTGCCAGTTGTCCCAGTGATGTTTTTTGTAGCAAAATGATCTAGTTCAGAATGTGCATTGCATTTAGTTATCGAGCCCCTTTAATCTCCTTTAGATTTTGCTCAGTAAAAGTTTTTTGACATTCATGACCTTGATACTTCTGAAGATTATAGGCTTGTTATTATGTAGACTGTCCCTCAATTAGGGTTTGTTGGATATTTTCTCATGATTAGAGTTAGATTATGCATCTTTAACAGAAATATCACAGAAATGATGCTTTCTTCTCATGGCCTCCTATCATGTGGTGCATGATTTTGATTTTTCCCATTGTGTTCATTTTGATCACTTGATTAAGGTGATGTCTGCCAGGCTTCTCCATTGTATACTTCCTGTTACAGTTAATAAGCATTCTGTGGGGAGATAGTTTGAAATACGTGAATATCCCTCACCAGACTTTAATTTATTAATTAGTTAATTAATTTGTGTATTTCAGATTCATGGTTTCCTTTCTTATTCAATGCAGTGTAATCTGTTAATATCATTATTTACTGCCAGTGGGAGCCCCTTCAAACTGGCTTCTGCATCCTTTTGATTAATAATTCCCATCATTCTTTTAGCATTTCCTTGCTTTCTGGCCCCAAAACAAGATGTTCTAGATTCATCTTGTACTTTCCCTGCCATAGTTGCAGGGTTAGCTATTTCTCCGAAGAGTTCTCGTTCTTCCACTGAAGAATGTTATTTAGAAGGCAGTGGGTGCTAGGTGTGCTTAGTGCTGCTGGAGTGTTGCTCTGCTTCTTTGACCTTTCAATAGAGCTAGAAAACAGATGTGTGTGTGGGTGTGTGTGTGTCCATACTCACAGTTATGTCTAGCTTATTTATTTATTTATTTTAAAAAAGATTTTATTTATTTATTTGACAGAGAGAGACACAGTGAGAGAGGGAACATAAGCAGGGGGAGTAGGAGAGGGAGAAGCAGGCTTCTTGCTGAGCAGGGAGCCCGATGTGGGGCTTGATCCCAGGACCCTGGGATCATGACCTGAGCCGAAGGCAGATGCTTAATGACTGAGCCACCAAGGTGCCCATGTCTAGCTTATTTTTATATATTATATATCAGAAACCATGAGTTCACACTGTTTCCTCCAATTTCAGTTTCACTCCATGTATTTTTTTTCTTCATTCCATATTTTAATTCCATCCTGTAACAGTGAGAAACCTGGTTCTCATTACCCTTAATATATGCCCTTTGATCAATCCCTCTGTATGTAACCAATCTCCCATTTGTTACCATTGCTCCTTCCCCATCTTGAATGCCTCTTTTACCTTGCCTGTGACTCCCTGCATCAGGCTTGCTCCCCTCCTCCCCATACCCTCTACACCCCACATGGGCTCTGACATGCTGTGTCACACCTTCTTGCCTCTATACAGATGCCTTACTTACTCTGCTTGGGCTCTGATACCCTCTACTCCCATGGCCAGACTCGTTGGCTCCCCCCATTTCAACTTGTAGATACTATGTTCCTCTGCCACAACTAATGACTCTAAAGCCATAAGAATAAATTTTTTCAGGAAGGGAAGAGGAAGAGCTGCCCTCTGTTTCTTGACTTGAGTTGAACTTGGTTTTTAGAAGTAGAGGAAGTGTGGAATCCAGTGATTACTGACATGTGGAGGATTGGTCTCCTACTATTGTCTATTCTCAAGATTTCCTGTAAGAGAAGCTTTTTGATGTGGGTGAAATCAGTTGAGAAAGCAAGGCCTGCAGGCAAGAGGACTCCTGGTCATCAATGTGTCATTCATGAAAAGGGATAGTACACATATAGTATGCCGTATGGGGGGCCTGGAGCATTCTGGGCATGCAGGAGATTTGGCATTAATTGGATATATAGGCTCCAAGTAAGGGGGGGGTCCAGGCTTGGCCAGGCAGTAGTAGTATAGAATAGTAGTAATAGTAATAATAGTAAGCTATATTGAGCCCCTATGTGCCCAACACTGCTCTTAATGCTTTACATGTGTCCTCTCATTTCATTCTCACTTATGGAATAAGAACTATTGTCATTTTACAGGTGAAGGTTGGAAGAACAGAGCTTGGCCAAAGGTGCCATGGCAAATGAGTGGCTCAGCCAGGATGCAAACCTGGAAGGCCTCCTTAATCATGATGCTTAATTGCCGGTAGTGTTTGGCAGATGGGGTCTGGTTGACTACATATACTATATACACTCGCTGTGAATATTGACAAATATTAGGACTCTCAAAAGTCCTTATCCATACAGCCTGACTTCAAGGAGTTAGAGGAGCATTCTAAGGCCCTGAGGGACTTTGGGTCCAAACTGTAATGCATAATCTGAACAGAGTGGGTCTCCCATCTCAGCAAGGCTTCCAGTACTGTTCAAGGCATGTGTGTGTGTGTGGGGGGGTGATGTGAAGTTATTTTGGATTCTGGTTTTCAGAGGGATGTTGGCCCCTTTGCCTTTCCAAGGGATTCCTTAGTGAAATCCAAGCCAGCCTTTGTCTACCCTAAGCTGAAGAGTTGGGGCTGCGTTTTTGGCAATGCGGTAAAGCCATGGTGAAAGCAAGCTCTGTGCTCTGTAGGATCCATGAAAAACTTCAAATACTTTTCAGTCTTAGCACCTCTGAATCCCCATGGAATCTCACTACGGGGATGGGGAAATCGAGGACCCACATGTGTCCTAGTAAATATGCAGACAAGTTATTTTAGGTCATTCAGTGAGTCAGGGAAGAGCCAGAAGGAAAATTGATACTTGGCATTGTATACGTCCATTCAGGCAGTGGTCACCTCATTGCCTCCGAGTGTGTCCTGGACTTCACAGGCTGCTACCCCCCTCAGCCCTGCAGGAAGGAGCCAGTGCCCATCTGCCGCCTTTCAGAGGCAAGCTTTTGGCTCTATTAGAACGGGGCTTCGGAAGGCATAAACTATGGCCATTTCTGCATTGAGCAGTGAGATTTCTCTTTTGACTTTGAGGATTAAAGCTGAGGGAATTTGAATATTGGTGTAAGAGGGGTAAAAAAAAAAACAACAAAATTTATTTGTTCCTTTTTTTTTTTTTTTTTTTTTTTTTTAAAGGAAGCCTGAGTTATTTGTGAATAAAACTTAGGCTTTGGTGTTTAAATTTTCTTAACCCTCTAAAGAGCAGACATTCTGCAAATTTAAAGGAAAAACTTGAAAAGTGATTTGGATTTTTTTTTTTTTTGCACATGTTCACTCAGAAAACTTTACTAGACCTTTTTTTCTTTTTCTTTTTTTTTCTTTAAGCAATGCTCCCATTACTGCCACATCTGGGTTTTCTCTTTTTCTTCCCTATTTAAAAAAAGTCCCGCAGTCATTCAGGGTCTCTAGTAGAGAGTGAGTCTAAAGGCAGCAAACGGGAAGGGAAGGCCTGAGGCTGTTGCCAGCTGTGCTCTCCAGGCGTCATTCATTCCCCCAGGGTGCCACTTACTGGTATGGGGGCTGGGGAATCACCAGCACATCAGGAGCAAGCTCCCCGGCTGGGCTGCGTTCCATTTCACCTTGGGGAGACCAGAGGGGGGGAATGTGGAGGTGTGCGATATGGACTGGAAACCCAGGGGCAAATGGCTTGTCATGAGCTGAGGAGAGAATATTTGGCATTTTCCACTGTTTGAGGCTCCTTAGCTCCCAGGATGGATTGTGTGGCTTTGTCACCTCATGTTACTTTGGGAACCTTAGCTTTACATTAACTGTGCCATCTGAGAAATGACCACAGAATTTTTCTCTCTCTCTTTTGAACTTTAGAGCTCCATTTAAAGATGAAGGCCAGCATGGCAGATTGTTCTGAGGATGGTCTTGGAGACTCAGAGCTGTCATAATGCTCTGGGGGCCAGTATTAGGGTCTTGAACTGCAGTAACGAATACTGTTGATTTCGAAAAGGGGTCCGGAAACACTGGGGAGTGGTTCATGTTGTGGGACTATTCCTGAAGACCAGATGGAACAGGGCCACCGTGGGAGGGGAGTAACCCAGGCTCTTTGTTCTTTTTTTTTTTTTTTTTCTTTTTCTTTCTTTTTTTTTTTTTTTTTTTAAACTTTCCTCCCCTAAGTTTTAGATGCTTCTGGATGTTCAATGCTAGCACCTTTACAGACTGGAGCAGCTCGATTTTCTTCATATTTACTTTCAAGAGCAAGAAAAGTGCTGGGCTCCCACTTATTTTCTCCCTGTGGTGTCCCGGAGTTCTGTTCCATATCCACCAGAAAACTGGCGGCCCACGGCTTTGGCGCATCCATGGCGGCAATGGTGCCCTTCCCTCCCCAGAGGTATCACTACTTTTTAGTGCTGGACTTTGAGGCCACGTGCGACAAGCCACAGATTCATCCTCAGGTAACTGTTGCATCATTGCTTTAGAAAAGGGGGGGGCGGGCAAGGAGGGAGGGAGGTTAGTCTTGCTTTCTGGGTTCCAGAGGAACTTTCTCATGTCTTCCTGGCTTCTAGCTACTCATTGGGAATTCCTGCCTAGGAAGCTGGACTTGGTTAAGGCATGCTTTAGGGTAAGGTAGACCTGACAAGTCTCTGGAGAGAATTGGGCATATTGTTTTCTCTCTGGTCTCGGCCTTTGGAAATCGAAATATTTCCTAATGTCCCATCCTTCCTCTCTCCTTTCCCTTCCCTCCTTCCTTCTCCTGCTATTGCTGCACGTTATTTTGAGGAATATTGTGGAAGTCAGCCCCAAAGATGGCACCCAGTGACCCTTGCCTCCTGAGATTCCTAACCCTTGGTAGTTTTTCTCCCACACTGAATTGGGCTAGCCTTGTATAACCAGTAGACTAGAGAGGAAAAGCCATAGTGGGCTTTCTGAGGCTGAGTCATAAAAAGCGCTGCGGTTTGCCTTGCTCTTTTGGATCACTTGCTCTGGATCACTTGCCGCCATGCATCGAGGGCTCTCAAAGGGCCTGGGGAGAGGCATGCATCTATAGGAACCGAGTTTCTTAGCTAAAAACCAGTACCAGTGCCATTCATGTTTCTTGGTGCTGTCTCGGAAGTGAATCTGCCAGCCCCAGTGACATCTGACTTCAACCTCAGGAGAGACCCTGAGCCAGTCTGGTCCACTGAGCCACTCCTTCCTGGCTGGCAAAAACTGTGAGTTAAGAAGTGATTATTGATGTTTTAAACCACTAAGTTTGGGGATGATGTGTTTTGCAGCATTCGAGAACCTGAAAAAGTACAACTTTTGGTTTGTTGGAAAGGAAAATGTTTTTGCTTGCTTTTTTTCCTGTCATCAACTGAGTTCAGAGACCTTTTTCCTTTTAAGGTAGTGCTACTAGGAGGTTTGGATTAGCAGCACAGAGGCACCTGTGCTTAGAGATATTGGCATGCTTGGTGTCTCTTTAGGGGGAACGATTGGGGGCTGATGTGGCAGTTCATTGTGCTGTGGGGGCCTTTAGTATGCCCGGCTCTAGGACTGTTACTCTTCCCTGCGGGCCTGGGTTATTAGGAGTGTAATTTTGGGATGTGTAGACATGTTAGTCTGGAGCAGCATTCAGTGGTAGGGAGGAGGGGGCCAGGGGGAGGATGGTAGCATCAGGCACTTGGGAGACAGGGAGGAGTGGGGTCCATTCAAAGATGAACTGGGTTCATTTCTCATGGTTGTTTTTTTTTTCCCATGAAGAGGTTCTGTCTTTAGAATAGTAGATTATTTTCCATAAAGCAGATGCCACCACCCTTTTACCTTCCTCCTTCTCTCTCTTTTTTCCTGTTCTCCCCTCAAGTAGTGGTCTGTCTTTGGGAGCCTTGGAATTAGGCCTGTGGAGGTTTGGGAAGACAGGAGCAAGATGAGGAGAAGGTCCCGAGAGGAGGAATTTTGCATAAAAGGAATATAGCTTGGGTGCTGCCTGAGCCACACTTACTTTCTCAGCCTCTTGCTCCTGCCCATTCTCTAGAGTCTTCTCTGCCTCCCCAAACTATTAGAGATTCTTTGCTGGCTGTTTCTGGGTGGTGGGTGGGAATTTTGGTTACGTAGATTCTCCCAGCTTAGGAATCAAGGATCCAAATCATAACACACCATATTATTTCCCTTACTGATGTAGATTTCAGTTATTGAGTAAGCCCTAGTGGACATGAGTCTAAGATCCAACACATCCCGATTGCCTATGATTCATCCCTCTTCTGAACTCTTGTAATCACTTGGCACCTCCTTTGTGGCATTTTCTACATTCTGCTTTCTGGCACATGCTTGTATATGCTTATTTCTGAACTTTTCAATTAGATTGTAAGCTCAGATAATTTTGTAGCTCTGTTCTCTTGTCCTACAGAGTGTCCCATCAATGTTGCTGAAGGTGAAGCTTGATTCATGTCTCAGTTTGGTCTGTCAGGATCACCTTCCATCTCTCTTTGAAGGGCTTTGTTCTTTTTAGTTATTTATTGCAATGCTAAAGATATAATGCAATACAGATTTAAATCCCTTGTATCACCAACTTCCCACCCAGACTTAGGCACCAAGGCCTTCCTGACCTAGGCGGAGGTAGGACTTCTTGCCGTTTACCAGGTTCTGGGCCTGATTGAAGATTATCTCCAGAATCAATGAACCCTGATGATGTGATTCCAAGGGCACTTAAAGAATTGGCTGCCCTGGTTCATTATTAGAAAGCATTAGCTGTTGCTTTAGAGAACTCAGGAAGAAGCATTCGCTGTCTTGCTTATCTTTAGAAAGGGGAATACGAATGATCTTGGAAATTATAGACCCGTTAGTTTACTGTGATTCCAGAGAAGATACTTGACCTGATCGTCAGATAATCAATCAGCAAACAGCTAGAAGAGCGTAGGGTACTGAGTGATAACTTACATGGGTTTGCAAAGAAGAGCAAATCCTGTCAGATCAATCTAACTTCTTGCTGTGACACAGTGATGGATTTGAGTGGATCTGGGGTAAGTGATAAATGTAATGCATCTCTACTTCATTAAGCCTCCACAATGCTGTGATCAACAGGTGGGAAGGTGAGTTGGGGCCAGGCAGCTCTGTTGGACTACCCATTGGATCATTCTCAGGAGAAGGATAGGTAGCTCAGGAGTGATTTGAGACTTGTTTGTGGCAACTTAAAGCCTATCTCTCTTTGAAAAAAAAATCTTCTCTAAAGTTTGCAAGTAGCAGCATCCTGACAGGATTCTGAGGAATCTTGGAAGATGGTTTGGAGAATTTGTCAGTCCCACATAGGCTAGCGTCCTTCCACTGAGGTTATCATAGTCATGTTGTCATTAGAGCCTCTGGGCTGTGTAGGTCTTCCAGTCAGCAGGGGCAGTGGAGAAATTGGAAAAGCTCAGATTAAGAGGGGGAAAAAATTATTAGGGTACAAAAATAGGACTTAGAAGAGAAGAGAAATTGAATATGGTTTTAGTGACTTATTTCTTCACATGGGAGGTGTTCCAAGGAGTATACTAATAACTTGCTCTTCATTTTAATAAGGATAAAAAAAGAAATGAATTTAAATGGAAACAGATTGAGATTTGGGATGAGAATGAATGTTTAGAAGAGACTGGAAAAGATGGGCTGCTAGCTGAATCCAGCCCTCTCTATTGCCCTCTCAGAATAGCTTAATGGCTGTCCACTCGACAGAGATGCTTTATAGGCAAGGTCTCTGTGCCTCCTGGGGACGAGCTTGGGACTGTGAATCAGCCTTCTTCCTCCCTGGCTCCCAGTTGCTTTGAATACTCAAGGCATCTACACAGTACATTTCCAGTCCTTATGAGAGTGTGCCATTACCCCTTGGGGGTGGGGTGTAGGAGGGAGAAACAAGTTTGGGTCCAGGATCTATCTGAAGGCTTGCTACGGGGCTCATTTTTCTGATCCATCTTTGGTCTTCAGAAGTTCCTGAGTCAGCTTATTGAGACTGTTCTTAAGGAATGGCACCGTGAAAACGAACAGTATAAGCTCTGTTGTACTTGGGTGAGTAACAGTATTGGTTATAAATGTGGTAAAATATCTGGTATTTTCCATTTGTCATCATTTTTGCTGTTTATTTTTGTACTTTGTTCAGCTAGGTGTAGCTGGAGTGGTTGGTTTACCAGTGATAGGCTTCACTCTTCTGGGTTTTGCACTCATTTTGATTTACATTTTAATTCAGATTAACATGGTAGATATTGGCAGAATACGAGACTTTCACATTTGAAAACATTTTTCCACTTAAATGTTAATTTAGATGGTTTAAATTGCTTTAGAGACTCTAAGTTTGAGGAATAGGATTCCTTTCTTACTTTAGGAGTTGTTTCCTGATAGGGAAGTCGGTTTTTATCTGGTTTAGGAGAATTCTGACTCCTTTCTCCTGGTTAGCAGGAGTTCATGTGCTCATTTTGGTTCGGATGTGCATCGAATAATGGTGGTTGTGACCCTGAGGCCCAGGGAGCAGCCTGAAAGCTTTGGTGGGATCTTTAATTGTCCATCTTTAACCTGGGGGCAAGTTCTCTCACCACCTCACTGTTTAGAAAGGAACAAAGCAAATGTGAGGACAGTGAGGTGTAGGCCTTAGCGCAGAGGAGAAGGAAATAACGTCAGCTATCCGAATGGCCAGGGAGAGGGCTGCCCTGCTCTCCTGTGGAGCAAAAGTTCTGTGGAGCAAAAGTTCTGTGGAGCAAAGTTCTGGCCACTGCCTGCCGTCCCTCCCTGAGTTCCCTCTGGCCGTCCATCAGGCTCCTGGGTATGGTCTTTTGCTCACTGCTCTGCAGCAGCCCTGTGACTGTTTTCCTTCTCATCTGTATTCACGTGTCCATAACTTTGGAGAAAAATGACCTTTGGGGTTGAGGTTTTCTAGTGTTTGGTCTTTGTCCACAGGGGCTTTTCTTTCTTTCTTCTTTTTTAAAGGAAACCTTGAAGAAACTCCATCTGCATTTTGAGTTAGAACTATGAGTAAAGGGGTTTCTCTTTTATAGAAGATTGTCCAGATGCTGGGTTATTTTGGGAGGGTAGGTGGAGGAAGGTTAATGGTGACAGGAGAAGGAATAATACGGAAGAGAGGCATTGGGAGGATTTCAGTATGACTTAGAACTGGTATATCATTATTAGTCTTCTGTGAGAAAGACATTTTGGGAAACTTTACAGGAAATTGTTAAGCTCCCTACAAATCAAACTGTATCAATTCCCTTCTCCATTCAGGGCTAAAAAGCAGGATCCCCAATCCTTTCCCCCTGCTCCCAACCAGTGTGCGCACACATACTATCTTCCTGTGTAGTCACCTTTCCTTCTCCCTGCTCTTGGTTTCTGCACCCTCCAAGTGGACGGAAAGGCAGTTCTCTAGGGAAAGAACCCACCCGTCCTGCCCCGTTCACTTGTCCCAGTCCCAGCTCCTTCAAGTAGGAGGGGTGCAGCCAGGCTTTCTATTGGGAGGGCCCAATTG